TACAGGGATGAAATGCTCTTTCCCTTCTTTGGTCAAAAATTGGAAGTTTCCTGGCTGTTGGAAAACTATTAAAGGAAATTTGCTTATTTATAATCATCAGACATTCTCGAAAGATCCCTGTCCTGGGTAGGTTATAGCTGGAAAACTAGCTAACATTTGAGGATGCTTTAATTTACCTCATCATAAATTCTGCTGCCTCTTGATTTCCCTGATGTTTGCCAGAGAAAGTTTTTTTGTATGAAGGCCCCTCCAGAGTCCAGTTACGTAAGCTAAGTAAGAAGATCCGCTCTTCTGCTTTATTTGAGGATATCAACAGGGTCATAGAGTAGATTGAGTGAAGTCAGCTTTTGCCTCTGGGCTCACGCGACATTAACAGCCTGGCTTGTCCTTTTTCCCCTTTCACATCCATATCTTCCAGATGTGGAATAGCTCATATGCATATCAACACATTTGATCAATATGTAATTTTGGTTATTAATTTTAGCTTATTTATGTTATATAGTAATTTTTTGTCCATATGTATATGAACCAACAACATTTAAGTGAACTGCTTGGATGTTATATCCGTATTTCCTAATTCTGATCCCCACTGTCTCCAAACACCAGTTTGAAACTAGGTAATTGGGCTATGAGTTTTCTGTTTGCCTCAGGGTATGTGGCCCAGAGGTGTGTTCCTTGTTTTGATCTTGTATTGGCTCTTGGTTCCCCAACTCTGGTCCACTTGACACGAATTGCCCTCTGAATACCTCTAGAGAAACAGTATTGATTTCACTTTATGGGTAACAATGAATGTTGAATGGTGGAACTAGTGACTTAATTAACATACAAGGTGGCCAGAAAAGTATAACTTAAGCTAACAAAGGGTAATGAAATTCTATATTGACACTTAGTAGAATGTTAGAGAAAAGTGACTTTTATGAGCAGTTAATCATTTTCAGATTATTTTCACATGTATTGTATCTGGTTAATATTAATTTTAATTCATTTTTAATTGCTGGCAGCTAAACAGTAATGTCAGTGATCTTTTTAAACAGATTAAAAAGTTTGTTAAGTTACATATAAAGATCATCTATGTGATTTTAATAAATATCTATTCCCCCCTTCATTTAAAGCTTAAGAAAGTTGACATTTGAAGTATAGAGAAAAATAATTTGTCAAGCAATGATTATTTTTGTATGCAGGCATTTTGTCATATGTACAGTGAGATTTTATATATGTCTTTCATGTTTTAAATATTCTTTTGTTCTGCTTACAATCTTGTATAAATAACTGTATAAATAGTCTGAAAAGATTAATAACCTGTATTAGGTCCCTTTAGTTAAATCTATAGCTGCCTTGCTTTAATAGTTCGTTATGATTTGTTGGCTTCTGCTCTTTTCCGCCTTTTTCTTAAAACCAGTCATCCTCCTTCTGATTGCTGCTCATGGTTGCGTGATCTGTTCAACACTTTATAGTAACTAAATATTTGTCCACCACTTTAAGCGTTGTACTGATATGTTTCCTTTGAACTAAGACTGGATTACAGGCAGTTCTTGCTTTGGCATAGTTCCTGATACGCATGATTCCGGGTTATGCAGTATCCCAGTAAATGGTCACATGGTTCCAATCTGACTTGCCATGTTTAAAACGAAGTAGGCCTCATAGCATGTGCTAACTCTTTGTTAACTGGATGTTTTTGTTTGTTTCTTTGTTTGTTTGTTTTTTCTTTTTTTTTTTTTTTTTATTCATATGTGCATACAAAGCTTGGGTCATTTCTCCCCCCTGCCCCACCCCTCCCTTACCACCCACTCTCCCCCTCCCTCTCCCCCCACCCCTCAATACCCGCAGAACTATTTTGCCCTTATCTCTACTTTTGTTGTAGAGAGAGTATAAGCAATAATAGGAAGGAAAAAGGATAGCTATACAGGGAGTTGACTCACATTAATTTCCTGTGCATGTGTGTTACCTTCTAGGTTAATTCTTTTTGATCTAACCTTTTCTCTAGTTCCTGGTCCCCTTCTCCTATTGGCCTCAGTTGCTTTTAAGGTATCTGCTTTAGTTTCTCTGCGTTAAGGGCAACAAATGCTAGCTAGTTTTTAGGTGTCTTACCTATCCTCACTCCCTTGTGTGCTCTCTTTATCTGTGCTCAAAGTCCAATCCCCTTGTTGTGTTTGCCCTTGATCTAATGTCCACATATGAGGGAGAACATACGATTTTTGGTCTTTTGGGCCAGGCTAACCTCACTCAGAATGATGTTCTCCAATTCCATCCATTTACCAGCGAATGATAACATTTCGTTCTTCTTCATGGCTGCATAAAATTCCATTGTGTATAGATACCACATTTTCTTAATCCATTCGTCAGTGTGGGGCATCTTGGCTGTTTCCATAACTTGGCTATTGTGAATAGTGCCACAATAAACATGGGTGTGCAGGTGCCTCTGGAGTAACCTGTGTCACAGTCTTTTGGGTATATCCCAAGAGTGGGTATTGCTGGATCAAATGGTAGATCAATGTAGCTTTTTAAGTAGCCTCCAAATTTTTTCCAGAGTGGTTGTACTAGTTTACATTCCCAACAGTGTAGAGGGTTCCTTTTTCCCCACATCCTCGCCAACACCTGTTGTTGGTGGTGTTGCTATGATGGCTATTCTAACAGGGGTGAGGTGGAATCTTAGTGTGGTTTTAATTTGCATTTCCTTTATTGCTAGAGATGGTGAGCATTTTTTCATGTGTTTTTGGCCATTTGAATTTCTTCTTTTGAGAAAGTTCTGTTTAGTTCACTTGCCCATTTCTTTATTGGTTCATTAGTTTTGGGAGAATTTTAGTTTTTTAAGTTCCCTATATATTCTGGTTATCAGTCCTTTGTCTGATGTATACTGGCAAATATTTTCTCCCACTCTGTGGGTGTTCTCTTCAGTTAGAGACCATTTCTTTTGATGAACAGAAGCTTTTTAGTTTATGAGGTCCCATTTATCTATGCTATCTCTTAGTTGCTGTGCTGCTGGGGTTTCGTTGAGAAAGTTCTTACCTATACTACTAATTCCAGAGTATTTCCTACTCTTTCCTGTATCAACTTTAGAGTTTGTGGTCTGATATTAAGATCCTTGATCCATTTTGAGTTAATCTTGGTATAGGGTGATATACATGGATCTAGTTTCAGTTTTTTGCAGACTGCTAACCAGTTTTTCCAGCAGTTTTTGTTGA